TGCTATAGAAGGTCAGAGGCATTAAATCATTATCTCCATTGCCAGTAAGATTTTTTACACTTTTGTTTTCTCAATGCAAGAAACAAGCACCAGGAAAGAGGATTTGACTGCCTGCTGCCAACAAAACTAAGCTTTGATTAAGGCTTCCGCAAGCAGGGAAGCAGAACTATTACATTTATAACAAATTGGCTTACTTGCTACTTCAGTGATCCCTTAACTATGAGAAAGAAACATACAAACTATTTGCATTCAAGTCCACATGCATCATCTCCATCTGTGTGGCTGACATGCTTACAAGAAGCACACACTGAAACGGAAAAACTTTGTTTCAAACTTCTTCCGGGGAAAAGGTGAGATGTTATTCACCTTTCCGAGATTGGAAAGGGGTAAAAAATAAAGAAAAAGACATTAATGAAGGACGAAAACGAAATCCAGGTGAGGAGGTCTGTGATGTTTTGACTATATTTCAAGATATGGTTTACAGCCTTAACCAGTGTAGTTCTCAAAGCATCATCTGAGAACAAGTGCATCAAGATTCAGTTTCACAGCCCTCCCCCCAGCTTCCAGCAAAGCCCATCTATTAATTACAAGTCAGGTTCCCAGCTTCACAGCCATCCTTTTATGACAAGCTCACAGATCGGGCTCTGTCTTCTGACTGATGCGCTAAAACAAACAGAAGAATCTCAGTGTTTATTAATAAGCTAAACTGTTGAAACCGACTGCTGGTGCTCAGCATCGGAAAGGTCTAAGAGCCCAGACATAAACATCCAGGTAAGATGGGTGACAAGGCGATGGCAGGAAGACATTCATAAACCTCTCCCCACCTACAACTACAGCGCAAACAGATGGGTTAAGTTTCAAAACAGCTTCAGAGACTCACCTAACTTAGAGGTCAGCAGCTACGACTCACCTACCTGAGGACCGTCCTTCAGCGTAGCAGCCGCAGCGAAGGATGGGTTTCCCTGTAGCCTCTGCCATTAGCGGAGGCCACATATAGTGTGTCCTGTCATATTTCGCGCTAGGGCAATTAGTTGATGGCACTGCATCCTTCTCGTGGTAGGCCTGGGAATGGGCTGAGGAACAGGCCCCATTTGGTTCTTGATGTGCCCAGGTCTCCCCATATTGCTGACAGCTTCCCCTAGCTGATATGGGGTCTGTTAGGGCACAGAAGAGGTAGTGAAGGAATAAGGTCAAAACTTAACCCAGTAAGGACTGTGTTAAGAAGGGTTTGGACTAAGACCTCTCTTTCCATATACAAGTAGTATGAAAAGATCACAGGCACAAAGCAAGCTTAAGTACAGTTGCACAACTGCATAGGTATTTAATGATTGAGGACAGGCTGATTTTCCAGACTCAAACAGGACATAGGAATTTACTCAGTAGGTAGACAAAAGGTTGAATTTGGATCATTCATTGAAAATAAGCATAAAAGTAACTAGCAACCTTATCTAAAGAGTCAGCTACTGGAAGCTACAGCATACTGCCACTGAATGAGAAGTTCAAGAGAAACCAAACACCTCTAAAGCCATTTTATCTTGATTGAACTCATCAGTTTAAATACCAAAAGTGACACTAGTAGATTGCAGAAAGTACTTGGAAAGCAGGGCACAAATAATTCTCAGACCCCATCTGCTACTCACAACCTGTATACGTAGGCAGATCATTCCTACACAGTCACCATTTCAACAGCAGGAAAAAGCAAACATATAAAATATTATCTAACCATAACAAAGCATGTTAAGTATATAACATCACCATCTAACCCAGGAACCGTATCATTCTCTTTCCAGTGCAGCCCTTCTCTCCCCTTTATCTTCTTCTGGCACTCCTTGGTGTTGAGAGGGACAACACACATCCAATACCCCTCAAGAGCCTGGCTCTATGTTCACTGCCTTTCGTCATGTAAAATCTGATCTGCCATTATCAATCTCCTACAGGTAACAGCTATGGGTAATCCATTCCCGCTAGGGAATTCTGGCATTACCGTTCCCTACCCCCTGGGCCAGAGCAGCTCACACATGTGCACACCAAAGAGGATTCAGTGCTAAGGTGTGTGCATCTAATGAAAGCAGAGCATCTGTTTTGCCAGCACTGAATGATTTCTGTGCCACATTTCCTCTCTTGTTCGTGTGATTTTAGCTCTTCAAAGTATCAGGGAACATACACAAGGTATGTGCTATAGTTTTAGGATTACTGTTTTCCCCTCTGATTTTTATTAAGACTTACTAGAAGCCCTTCTTGGTTATGATTTTCCTTTCTCCACAACACATGAAGAAACATCTTTTCTTAGATTTAAAAGCTGACAGCTGTTACCATGCTGCAGTCTGGAAAAACAAAACAACATGAACGGAGGCTAGCCAAAGTAAAAGGTTCTTTCCAAAACATCTTATCAAGCTACTACATGGGCAGATGAAGACTCTCACTCCAAAGACTGAAGTCTGATGCATTACACCACTGTGCAGCCCTCACCTGAGGCTTTGTTGAAACCATCTCTCCAGTGAGATTAATGCTCACCATTTCAGGCATAAGTGAATTAGAATTTCCACTAGTTGAATAATTTTGCCCTTTACTACATCTTTACTAAGATCTCATGCAGTAAGGTCTCTAAACTCTAATGCTTTTATTACTCTGTCTTCTAAATCCTCAGTCCTCAGAAAGTCACCGTATTACATAGACTTTCATATTATAGGTGACAGCAACTGAGCAACAAGATATTAAATAGGACCATCTGCTGAATTATCTCTGTATCAACATTGAGACATTACACTAAATGCATTTTAAAGTCTCATTTTGATCTCCACCACGATCCTCCAGATACACAGAAGCATTGCAAGCAGCCCGGGTTCACCCAAACAGCAACTGCCAAGACTGAAACTCTCTCAAAAACCTCATGGCAAGAATCCCTCAGAAGCTGAGGAGGATTTATTTAGGAAGAGTATTAGTTGTTAGTACTCAAAAGTTAGTGTCAACATACAGCTCAAAGCATACTTCCCACTATGTTGGAAAACAAACACAACAGGATTCACGCTCTGCAAAACAGAAGCACTGCTCCAAAAATGAACCACTTAAGTGAGTTACTGGCACTCTGTCTATAAACACTAGTGTTTATATGAAAGTGTGCTATAAATGAAACCAAACAGGCACCTGGAAAAGGTTCTTTCCCTTAGCAAAAGCAGCATTCCTATGGCTGACCCCTGGTCCTGATCTCTGCCCACCACAAGATTTCATCCAGACATGTACAGAAGAGCCACAAGGCAGAGAAATGCCCTTTCCAAGGGCACGCTACTATCAAAGTCACAAGGAGGCCTAGATCAAATGCACCCTGATCTCTTAAGTACCCACTATCATCTTTGTTGCAATAGGGGCCATAAATTACAGTTAAGCATCAGAACCAGATGTACCGAGGCTGTAATTATAAGAGGATTTGGTTTTGTCAGGTTTTGATTGTAGGAAAAGTGTCGAGTTGGCAAGAACGGTTGGATCAGATGGAAACAATCACTATGAATTGCTGTAATCGGCGCTGCATAGCGCTGTATTGAGACACATCGCTAACCCTCCCCAGCACTCACACACCTTCCCGCGTAACACCCAGCACTTCCAAGAAGCAAAGCCGGCAAGCAGGCAGCTCTCGGTAACTCATGAATGAGCTCGCAGAGCAGCAGCAGCCCAGCTTCTCTTAAGAGGTCTGAAATCACTGCTGCACTAGTGTGGAGAGTGGTTCATGAGACACACACTTTCCCACTCCCTTCCCCAAAAATGGCCACCCGCACCTCTATAAACTCCTCGGGAGATGAGAAACACCCCCAGCACTCGGCACGGCAGCTCCGCTTAAGTTCAGAAGGAGCTGCAGATGCTTCTGGAAAGTAAGTTTCAGGTCTCGCGCCTCATTTACACCCAGCACAGCGCTCACACACACACCGGCGTGCGCCGCTCGCTGCCCTGCCCCGCTGGAGTGCCCCGCTCACCGCGCCGCCCGAAGACTCGCTTGGGCGACGGGCGGACTGGCCACAGCCAAACTTCGGGGGCTCAGTCCCGCACTGGCCCAGCCCGGGCACCCCAAAACCTCAGCGTGGCCCCGGGCGAGGCGGCGGTGCCGGCCTCAGGCCGCCGGCCGGGGTTGCGGGAGCCGCCGCTCACCTTGCGCGATGGCGATGGACTCGAAGCGGTGCAGCTCCCGCAGCAGGCAGCTCCGCTCGGTGGAGTGCAGGCTGTAGATGAAGTCACGGGCCCCCTGCACCGTGTTCAAAGCCTCCATCGGTTCCTTCCTGGGGTGGGTGCCCAGCGCCCGCCCCGGCGGCGGCGACGACCCCCGCGGGAGGAGCAGCCCCTCGGCGCCGCCCCGCAGGCTGCTCAGACGGCGGCGGCAGCAGCAGCGCGGCGGGCCCCGCAGCGAGCCCAGGCAGGAGGGAGCGGCAGCGGCGGGGCCCCCCGGCCGCCCCAGCAGCAGCGCCGCCCGGCCGAGCCACGCCGACATGGGGCAGGGAAGGGCGCGGCGCTCGGGCCGCCAGAAACGCCCGCCGCGGAGTCCCTGGGCCGCGCTGCCGCGGCTGCTTCCCCGGGCCGGGCAGTCCGCGCCCAGGCACCGCCCCGCAGCCGCTCCCGCCAGCGGCGGCGCCGCCGCGCCCCGCCCCGCTCTGCTCCGCTCCGCGCCGCCCGGGCCAGCTCAGCCGCCGCCGCCCATGGCCCCGCGCCGGCGGCAGGGCGGGGCGGAGGGCGGCCGGCGGAGGCGGTTCCGCGCAGGCGCGGAGCGGTGGCGGGCGGTGGCGCGGCCTCCGTCGCCCCCTCAGGGCGTCCTGACGGGGAGCGGCAGCGGGGTCCGTTCGTCGCCGCTGAGGGGAGGCTGCGGGGTGGGAAGGGCCCGGCCGGTGTGAGGGGCGTAGTGAGGGCGGCAGGTGGGGTTAAACGCCTGCTGTTCTCCGGACCCTGGTGCTTGGCAAGGCTCCCTCCAGGCTCTTTCCGTTGTATCTATTATTAAGGTGCCTGTAAGCTCACAGGACTTAACTCGCAGCAGCAAAAGGTGTCACCGGCTCGTGTTAATTGTCCCAGAGCGATGGAAACAAGGTTTTGCTTTTCTGTCCAATTTTCCAGGTCTTTGCATTAGAGTACTGCAGCATTGCAACCTCCATTTTTTTGGTTTAGTATAGCTTAGGTGCATATTTAGCAGCTCTTCATCAGGGACTGTAGCGATAGGACAAGGAGAAATGGGTTAAAACTTAAATGGGAGAGATTCAGCTTAAAGATAAGAGGCAGAAGTTCTTCCCTGTGAGGGTGGTGAGGCACTGGCACAGGCTGCCCAGAGAAGCTGTGGCTGCCCCATCCCAGGCGGTGTTGAAGGCCAGGCTGGATGGGGTTTGGAGCAACCTGCTCTAGTGGAAGGTCCAATACTTCGCAGGAATGTACTAGGTGATCTAAAGGTCCTTTCCAACCCAAACCATTCTGTGATTCTATACAGCATCTGTGTTCTTTTAAATTAATTGGCAGATACTGAGTTTGATCCACGCTGAATGGTTATTAAAAAGAAAACAAACACTTTTAAGAGACAGTTTATGTCTTGAATGAACAGAGGACGTTGCAGAAACAGATTTGAAGTGTTCTGCTTTTTGGTCTGGATGTTTCCCAGGTATTTATGCCATGCTAGGGATTAATCCGGGTTCTGTATTTTCAAAACACTGTATGCCAAAAGTATTAGATTTTGTAGTTAGACTGCAAAGGACCTAAAGGACCACGGGGGCTCACTCATATGCCTAATTCATTTAACACTAAGGTAAGTGACTTAAGGGCACGCTCAAAATTTATTGCTGTGTGTTCAGCTCTTTTAATACCAAAGGCAGCACACTTCTGGAGTGGGGATGTCCATCCAGGTGGTTTCAGGTCTGCTGCCTTCCTGGGGGGAGGCAGACAGAGAGTTTTAAGTTCTCCCTGCTGACTTCTCTGCAATGAGAAGTTAAAATGTTACATGAAAAAGCAGCATCTTCTCTCAAGTTCCACTGCTGCAGATTTCATGCGTGGTATAAAGACCTAGATCTCATGATAAACAGAGGTGTCTTACCTCGAGTATGCATCAATATTATGTTGTTTACTGTAAGGGTGCTGAGGTTGCCCAAAGAAGTGGTAAATGCTCCATCCCTGGCAGTGTTCAAGGCCAGGCTGGACAGAGCCTTGGGTGACATGGTTTAGTGTGAGATGTCCCTGCCCATGGCAGGGGGTTTGAACTGGATGATCTTAAGGTCCTTTCCAGCCCTATATATTATTTGTTTCTATGTGGTATGTGTATTGTAGAGAGGGAGCAGAAAGTGAGCATGAAGATACAGGAAATAAGTCATAAATGCTTGAATATATGATGTTGTAATTTCTATCCTGTTAGAGGAATAGTGGAGATAGATGGGTTCAGCTGCTATTTCCAGTTAAATGACTTTTTGCCATACAGCAAATAGAGCAGCCTCTGAGAAAGATTTTTACAGCTCTGTAACTCTTTCTTTTAATGCTTACTCCTGATCCAGAGCCTCTTTGCCATTGATGATGCTGAGAACAGTCCTTATTTTTGCAGGCATTTATTAAAAAAAGGTATCTTCTGCTACTCTTCAGGTACAATGTGGCAGTCAGTAATCATTTTCCATTCCAGAGGATTGTAGCAAGAGAGTTCATAAAAGTGTTCAAAGATGCCCTTAAAATTTTCTTAATCAGATAGCTTTTTCAATAAAAATGGATGCTTCCATGTGTAAACACAGGACATGCAATGGGATTGCCAAACACCTGGAAAACTGGCATCCAAAAAATAAGGAAAAAACAAGCTTTCCAGATGCCAAACCTTTAATACTTTGATTCTACATATGTCTGATTGTTTATATCTTGCTACATATAGTATTTGATTTTATATTCACACAGCTTGATTGCACCAGACTACAATGAAGGAGCAAAGAAGGGGCACTAGAACCTGGCAAGAAAGGTGCCACCAGTGCAGCCCATGCCAGCCACATGGTACCTCTGTTGCAAATGGTGATTGGATTTGGGTTATTCTTGGGGTGTTCTGACGGTACTCACAAGGTTTCAGGTGTTTTCAGAGGCTGAAGGGAAGGGTTCCTTTGGCCGGTGATGCTGGCAGTCCACTGTGCCAGTCTCTAAAGGATTTCCTTATATATGGGACACTGTGCCATGTGGATCCCTGATGAAATAAATATGAAATCAATGATAAGTATGGAGTTTGTAACCTAGCCTTCAGAATTTGCTATATAGATATATCAACCACATAGAGATGTTCAAAGTCATTATTTAAGTAGACATGATGCAATACTATTACAAAGATAAAGTCATTTCAATACGGCAAGGTAGAAATCAGGGTTTAGCAGACTACAGGCAGCAGCTGTGGCTTATGCCTTTCCAAGCCTTTAAAACTGCATTGGACAAATTGGAATAAAAATGTCTTCAGAGGGACTATCCTACAACGACAGGGAATGAACAGGATAATCTAATAGTTTTTTTTCCATAATTCCTTCCTGGAACTTTTATTTTGTGAAAAAGTGGCATTGAAGCCATTGGTTACACTGACACTTCAATTGATCAGACTATTTAACTCTGTTCAGCAGGTGGTGTAGAGGAACTTCCATTAGTCCCTGACACTCCAGCAGAGCTTGTGAACCTGCTGCAATGCGTATTTCTCACAGCATTCTGGAGGCTGAAGTTTCCCTATATTTTCTTGGTTTTTTCTTGCTAATAGATTAATTTTCTCCTAACATGCTTTATTTTAAAAGCAACCAAACTAATAAAGCTGGTTTATATACACCAGAAGTAGGAGGAAATAATTTAAAATACTACATGGAAAAAAATGGTGGTGTTCAGCCCTAAAAGCTAAAGAAACGCTTATGCAGAAATTAGCAGCCATCCTTAACAGAATTGCTGGAAGGCCTTCTAAGGACTGCAAAGCTGAGAGACAAGTCTCTGTGGAGATTGGCAGGAAATAGGAGGCACCCCTCTTCCTATTTAAATAATGAGTGCACATTTAGTAATTTCATTTTGATGTGGTGAAGTAAGAGCACATTAGTTATGAAGGAGTTTTTTATGGAGGGAGTAACATGGTTTCTCCACCCAGTGTAAAGGTAAGTATTGTTAGTTAAGGTGAGACAAAGATTTAAAGGTTGGTAAATATTTGATACCATAAATTACAACTATGCATTGTTTGTGGTTTTCCAGTTAAGTACTGTATTAAGGCAGGTCAAAGTTTCTAGGAAGCTTGCAGATAAGTAGCTCCAGAGAGGCATGGACAAGATATGTTTGTGCTGCCTCACATTTCGAAAGAAGACATGGCTGTTCTGGTCTTGCTGGCCCAGCAAGGCTCTGATCCTGCACATGTTTGTGTGCTGGCAGATAGAGGAAGATAAGAGAACACAACATGAAGCTTACTTAAAAAAAGGAGCTTTGAAATACATTGACCACTTGCTAAAATTTGAAATCCTATCTACAGTCTGAAATAGGAATGTGTGAAAAGATTGGGAGCTTAATGTATCATTAGCTATTGAAATAGTGTAAAAATGAGTGAGATCTTGTCATTTAGCAAGAAAAGGAGTTAAAATAATCTTGGGAAGTCATAGATGATCAAGCGCAAGCAGAGGATCTTCCTGATCCTCACTGTTTCCCTCCATACACAGCTTTATACAATCATATGCATTATTGTACTAATAAGCATTTAGAAATGACTGAAGATCATTTGGGGGTTAGGACTGTGCTGGCTTTGGCTGGGATAGAGTTAGTTTTTTTATAGTAGCTGGAAAGGGACTGTGTTTTGGATTTGTGCTGGAAACTGTTGATGACACAGGGATGTTTTAGTTATTGTGAGCTTACACAGAGTCAAGGCCTTTTCTGGTCTTCATCTTGTTCATGTAAATTATTCCCTGGTTTTAACATTCAGGAAGCAGTCAGGCCTACTGTGTGGTTTAAACAAAGCTGAGGATCATGGGAGACAGTGACCGAAGTAAGCTCCTTCTGGAACTGTATACCTGAAAGGGATAGCATGGGTTTTGGATATAGAAACATGGGGTTATCAAATACAAGAGAAGTTAACACTTTTTCTGTCTTTCAGGGTAAGTGCTTTTAGAATAGTGTAATTCAGCTACAGTGTCCTCAGGATACACTGTCCTCAGTCCAAGATAAATTGCACATAGCTCAAAAAACTGTTGGGAGAATTGCTAAAGGTTTGGAAAAATGCTTCTTGGCAAGAGGCTTCAAATATCAATTTATTCACTTTATTAAGTGGGAGTTTGTGGGTTTAAGATAAACATAGTTTCTGAGTAACTTGCTTGATAAAAGAACAATCATAGAATCATAGAATCGTTAGGGTTGGAAAGGACCTTAAGATCATCTAGTTCCAACCCCCTGCCGTTGGTAGGGACACCTTACGCTAAATCATATCACCCAAGGCCTCGTCCAGCCTGGCCTTGAACAATGCCAGGGATGGAGCATTCACAACCTCCCTGGGCAACCCATTCCAGTGCCTCACCACCCTAACAGGAAAGAATTTCCTCCTTATATCCAACCTAAACTTCCCCTGTTTAAGTTTTAACCCATTACCCCTTGTCCTGTCACTACAGTCCCTAATGAAGAGTCCCTCTCCAGCATCCCTATAGGCCCCCTTCAGATACTGGAAGGCTCCTATGAGGTCTCCATCCATCAGATCGATGTTGCTCCAATTTAGAGACAAGGATGTTGTGTGGGACAGTGTCGAACGCTTTGCACAAGTCCAGGTAGATGACATCAACTGCTCTACCCCTGTCCATCAGTTCTGTAGCCCCATCATAGAAGGCCACCAAATTGGTCAGGCAGGATTTCCCCTTAGTGAAGCCATGCTGGCTGTCACCAAGCACCTTGTTATTTTCATGTGCCTTAGCATGCCTTCCAGGAGAATCTGCTCCAAGATTTTGCCAGGCACAGAGGTGAGACTGACTGGTCTGTAATTCCCCGGGTCATCCACTTTCCCCTTCTTGAAAATGGGGGTTATATTTCCCTTTTTCCAGTCATTGGGAACTTCACCTGACTGCCAGGATTTCTCAAATATGATGGCCAGTGGCTTAGCAACTTCATTTGCCAGCTCCTTCAGGACCTGCGGATGGATCTCATCAGGACTCATGGACTTGTGCACGTTCAGATTTTTAAGATGGTCTTGAACCAGTTCCTCTCCTACAGTGGGCGCAAGGTCTTCATTCTCACAGTCCCTGCATCTGCCTTCCAAGACTTGGGTGGTTTGGTCAGAGCTTTTGCCAGGGAAGATCAAGGCAAAGAATTCATTCAGAACCTCAGCCTTCTCCAAATCCTGTGTAGCCAGCTCTCCTGAGAGCTTCCTGAGGGGGCCTACATTCTCCCTAGTCTTTTATTTGCTATGTACCTGTAGAATCCCTTCCTGTTATCTTTAATACCTCTAGCTAAGTTTAATTCTAACTGAGCCTTATCTTTCCTAACCTGGTCCCTAGCTTCTCGGACAACATCCCTGTACTCTTCCCAGGCTGCCTGTCCTTGCTTCCACTTATTATAAGCCTCTTTTTTCAATTGAATTTTCCTCAGCAGCTCCTTAGCCATCCAAGGAGGTCTCCTGGCCCTCCTGCTGCACTTCCTTCTGGTTGGGATGCAACACTCCTGAGCTTGCAGCAGGTGATCCTTGAATATCAACCAACAGCCGTGGGCCCCTCTGCCCTCTAGGGCTGTATCCCGTGGAACCTTCCAAAGCAGGTTCTTGAAGAGGCCAAAGTCTGCTCTTTTGAAGTCCAGGGCAGTGAGCTTGCTGCACGCTCTTCTCACTGTCCTGAGGATCTCAAATTCGAGCATCTCATGATCGCTGCATCCAAGGCTGCCCTGGAGCGTCACATTCCCAACGAGCCCTTCCCTGTTGGTGAGCACGAGGTCAAGCATGGCATCTCTCCTTGTCGGCTCCTCTATTACTTGCAGAAGGAAGTTGTCTTCTACGCAATCGAGGAACCTCCTGGATTGCTTGTGCCGGGCCGTACCGTCCTTCCAACAGATGTCAGGGTGGTTGAAGTCACTCATGAGAACAAGGGCCTGCGAGGGTGAGGCTTTTCCTATCTGTCTGTAGAGTGCTTCATCCGCAGGTTCTCCTTGATCAGGCGGTCTGTAACAGATCCCCTCGGTAATGTCTCCCATAGCTATATTCCCTTTAATCCTGACCCACAAACTCTGTGTGGACTGCTCACCTGTCCCCAGACAGTTCCATATTCTCCAGCCTATCCCTAACATAAAGGGCAACTCCCCCTCCCCACCTGCCAGGCCTGTCTTTTCTAAAGAGCCTGTAACCTTCCATTCCAACACTCCAGTCGTACGAGCCATCCCACCATGTTTCTGTGATGCCTGTTATACCATACCCCTGTACATGTGCGCACATCTCAAATTCCTCTTGTTTGCTCCCCATACTACGGGCGTTTGTATAGAGGCATCTGAGCAGAGCTCCAGCTGAAGCCGGCTCATTGGCTGGAGCAGCTGGGATATCTCTACATTGCTCCAGGCATTTATTATAGGTGCTGGCAACTGACTGGGTGTGTTGGGATGGAATGATGCCCCCCTCCCCCAACACATCTAGTTTAAAGCCTCCTTGACCAGCCTTGCAAGCCTCCTACCAAAACTGCTCTTTCCCTTTATAGCAGCAGCTCCACCAGCCCCCGTTAGACCTGGCCTACAAGCTTGAGTCCCGTGTTCAAGACACCCAAACCCCTGACTATGCCACCACCCTTTTAACCAGTTATTAACCTGGCCCATCCTCCTAGCTTTTTTTAGGTCCTCCCCTGTACCCTGGAGAATTGAGGTAAAGCCCACCTGAGCTCCAGAGCCCCTAACCACCTCCCCCAGGGCTCTGTAGTCCTTCTTTATGTTCCCCAGGCTGCTACTATCTGTGTCCCTAGCACCCACATGTATCACCAGGAGTGGGTAATAGTCCGTGGGACTTACTAGAGCAGGCAGCCTCTCTGCCACGTCCCTGATCCGTGCCCCCGGTAGGCAACACACCTCCCTTGAGACAGGGTCTGGCCAGCAGAAGAGTGCTTCTGTCCCTTTCAGTGTAGAGTCCCCTGCTACTATGACCCGCCACTTTTTCCTAGCAGCACCAGTAGAGATCTTCTTTAGCAGTGCATCAGCCGCCTGTTTCTGGCTCGAGTTCGCTTCCTTATTAGCCCCTTGCAGGACAGCAAAGCAGTTCTGCGTGGGGACAGGGGATTTAGGGGGAAGCCCCTTGCTTTTGTCAGCACACAATAAAATTATACATAAAGGGTCAATGGGTATCAATGTATGGCAAGTTGTGAAGCTGAAAGCGGGCAGAATCTGACTATTGCACAACATTTTAGCAGTGAAAATAATTAACAACTGCACCAACTTTCTAGAGGTTAATTTTCTGCTTCATATAACAGCTAAGTGAAACCTGTGCTTAGACAAGCTTTCTCTTAACTCAGAAGATACGAAAGGAGGTGTTTACTATAATTCCTCACACATTTTTCATATATGGATGCACAGCATTTTTTCAAATGAGGCCTGGAGTTTTTCACACTAAATACGATGGAAGACTTGTCCTTTTTTCTGTTATACAAGTGGAACACAAATATTGGAGGACAGATCAGTACATCCTTCGAGTCCCAATAAATTATTTTGTTGATAAATTGAGTAAGGTGAGAGGGCTGAACTGTCGCAGTTAGTGAACTGCATTAAAATGTATCAGGGAAAAGGTGTGAAAGAAGAGAAATGTTCCAGAAGAGAGTAGGGAATATCAAAGGAAAGCAGTAGAGCTTGCATTTA